TATTTGCTTTCTACAGTCACCATTAGGTGCAGGACCACATCAATCGGTTTCTCTTAATGTGAGGCAAAACTTGCACAGTTCTCTGTGTTTTCTGTGGAAGGAAAGGGTTCTAAGAAGCAACTTTTTTGGACAGAGAAAGCTGAAAATGTTTTAAATGTCATTATTGCAGCCCGTGGTGAAAAAATTAGTTACTGCCAACTTGAAAATCCTGCATTAATATTCTAGTATGAATCAAAATTTGCTGAGTGTTACATACCTCTCTTTTGAACCAAATAGCCAGCTACCAGATCTTTGTTAAAATAGGAAGCACAGTTAAGACCCCAGTTTAGAACCTGCCTGATTTGAAGCATGTGAATAATCCTCTTGGTAATGGGAAGCCAGCTTTGCAAAGAATCCAACCATTAGCATTTAACCTTATGAAATACAGAGCACCCTAATATGCCACCGTTTTCACAACACTCGGCTCCTTACAGACAGAAGGGCAGTATTAGGCCTCTCATACTATTTAATTTTGTGGAGATCTAGCAGTGGAATAATGAGAATCTTCATACTAGCTCAGCATAAACTGTTGTAGAGGGAAGCAATAATTCCATGGATTCTGTGGCTAACACACATGCAAGTGGAATGAAAGGGTTGCATCTCCTAGGCCAACCAATAGGAAACACTCATGTACTTTCTCTCTCCATAAAAACACCTGGCTTTTTATGAATATGTATTAAAGCAAAAAGCTTCCTGACTGATTCCCCTGGTGCTGTCACAACCTAGTGTGGGAAAGATCACAATTCACTAAGGGTGACAATAAATGTGCCTGTAGAAAATCAGAATGGGCACTATGTGGGTGAAATGACTGGAATTTTTTTGGGGGTAGAGGGATTGGGTGGGGGTTGAAAAAAATCTACCTAGGATACTGGGTTACAATGCATTCTCTCTGTACCTATTACTCAAGCCTATTGGTTGGCCTAGGAGATGCAACCCTTTCATTCCACTTGCATGTGGAAATGTTGTAATAGAAATTTCTCTCAAGGGTTAGCTTTATTCCAGGCCAAAGACACCATTCTTTGAATATATTCATATCAGAGATTTCATCAGGTATTCCTAAACTGCAGATTAGTACAAAAATCATATAATATTATGACTTTTCAAATACCTCTGGTAACATCTAGAAATATGGAGCAGCATCTATTTCATGACCCTCACAGATTAAGAAATAAAAGAGTTTATTTTTATATCAACTACTATTTTTTCCCAGATACACTCTCAATGATAGGAATCTTGGTCGACTGGTATCCATAACCCAAACGTTCAACACTGACCTTCAGCTTTGGCAGGTATGGAGATGATACCTATATTTATTTTAAGATATTAAATGATAAGCTCTTCCTCAGCAGGGAATTTGCCTTTTTATTCTCTAAATCCTGGTCTACACTAGGACTTTACTTCAAAATAACCCCCCAAGGTTGAATTTCTAAGCAGAGCGTCCACACTACCAAGCCCATCATTTCGAAATAACAGGCCACGAAATTCAAAATCTGTACTACTGGTTTTCATCAGGAGTAATGCTAATTCCAAAAGAGTTATTTTGAAATAACTGTAGTGTGGATACTCTGGTACCGTTATTTTGAAATAATTAATACCCAGATTAATTCAAATTAATTACTTCCCATTTGTTCCTGGCGCTATAAGTCCAAGGTAGTACATTGATGGAGCCTGCTTTGGACTAATTTTGAGGCTTTCCTAAAGTATGGACATTGCTAGTTTGCATTTGTTAAACAGGGAGTTATTAAGTCAAATTTAGTCATTTCAAAATACTTTCCAAGAGTAGACATGGCCTAAGATGCCTAGGATAGTTTTGTAATAGAGATGTAGCCGCGTTAGTCTGGTCTTGCTGAAATAATTATTCAAGTACTACCAGTCCAATCCTGATGTACTTTCTCAAATAAAACTTCCTTGATTCAGGAGCTTGGAACTGATCCTCTAAAAATTACTTGATGCTAAATACAACAGAAGTACTTGCTGCCTGTGAATTCATTTTCTTTTCTCTTTTCAAGATGGAAAATTTCTTTGAGAAATACCCTAATGCTGGAGCAGGAGAAGCACCAAGGAAACAGGCTCTTGAAACAGTAAAGAACAATATTGCATGGCTAAAACAAAACAAGGGAGAAATAGAAGCATGGCTATCAACTTAATGTTTTACTTCAAAGTTGTGAAGAATTAAAAATATCCTTTCTTAATTTTATGCACTTACTATTTCTTACATGAACATTTGGGAGTCTGATTACAAATGCTGTATCTGAATCCTATAAACCCTTATGCACTTGAATAACTTTATTCATGTAAGTATGCACTAAGATAAATAGGACTACTTGTAAGAGTAAAGTCACTCGTGCTATAAAGCAATTGCATAATTGAGCTCCTGTTTGTCAGGATGCTTTGTGTTTGTACCACCTATTGCCCCCTGTTAATACAGAAAACAATCTGTTTAATAATATTTAAAACTCTCAGGGATTCCCTTCCTACTGCATTTTATAGGTGGTCTATTCTAAGGGAAGTAAGTGGTAATTTGAACTTGTTTAAAAATAATTGTATATATTTATACCTGTAAAAAACACATCATGTGGAATTTAATTTTGGATTCTTAGTATTAACGAAGTGTCAGTTATTTATATTCTCAACTGAGTCTTTAAAAGTTTAACTACTGGTATTCAAAGAATGAATAACTTACTGTTAAGTTTATTATGTGGGATTCTATAATTTTTATATTTTATTTTTCTCTCTAAATCCTTCAAATCAACAGCATCTAGGATAACAGTCTCTCTGTTTGACAAGGAAATGGATAGCGGTTGCCTCTCTTTTCATAAGAAAAGCAAGGCACCACCACCAGCAACTAAGAAATATTCACAATAAACGAGGAAATAAAACCATGATAAAAATAAGTAAACTGGTCATCACCACCTTTTTAAAAAATATCAACCAGGGCAGGGGATTTGGCAAACACTCTGGGTACATCTACACAGCGGCGTTATTTCAGAATAACTGACATTATTTTGAAATAAAATGCGCGTATACACAGCAAACCATTATTTCAAAATAATGTCGACCTGGAGGACTTCTTACTCTGACTCCTGTAACCCTCATTTCAGGAGGAGTAAGGGAAGTCGAAGGAAAAGCATTCTTCCTTCAACTTCCTGCTGTGTAGACAGTTCCAAAAGCTGAGTTAAGCTATTTCAACTTCAGCTACACAATTGACATAGTTGAAGTTACGTACCTTAATTCGACTTTTGCCCCGCAGTGTAGACGTGCCCTTTGAGACAGTAGTCTTAGAAAGGACTAACTCACCCATCTGCTGGAGCTAAGGCTGGAACAGGAGGAAAACAGATTGTGTCACCTCTATCCAAGAACAAATGGGAGCCAGGTTGTCAGACTACTGAGTAGGCCTGAGAGCTGGCCAAACTTAGGCCACTATTTCAACGGGCCACTGCAGGAGTGCAGAATCAATAGTGAGTGAAAAGCACACCTCTTTGTGCCATGGAATGATTGCTAGCCAATTGCTAGTGAAAGGAAAGTGTCAGCCAGGTATCCACATTTAAACATTTAAGGATTTTAATCTACAATGATTACAAGCCATTAATGATATTTGCTTCTAGCTATGAGAGGAACATGGACAGAGACCAATGACTTCTTCAGTGCTCTCACCTTTGCCCCCCCCCCCAGTGCAAATGAGGCAAATTGTACAAAGCCAAAATATGCACAAAATCTTTCACTATTTTCCTATATGATGAACTGTCCCAAGCTTGTTCATATTTATAATGAGCGCTTGTCTGTAAAAGGAAATATCATGTGTCTTAGATTCCCCCCGCTAATGTCTGTACCTCGAAAGATTTTTATGATTGATTAAAGTAAATCAATATGGTGAGTGAAGTAAATAATTATAGTGACATTTTTCTTGTGTGTTGATTTCATGTAAGCAATCTGCAATATAGAACATGTAGCTCACTGGCAAAGTCTGTTTTCCACCTCACACTGCCTACTTTTAGCCAAAATTTTGTGATCCCATTAGCCAATATGTGTTGTCTAGTTTCCTCTGTACCTAAGTCAAAAAACATAGGATATGTCTACACTTGCCGGCACGCTAGTTCAAATCACAGATGATTCAAACCAGGAAGTGCACGCGGGGACGCAGTAGTTCGAACCAAAGCCCTTGGTTCGAACTAACGTTACTCCTCATTTTTTGGTTTGAACTACCGCCAAAGGGCTTCGGTTTGAACTACTGCATCCCCGCGTGCACTTCTTGGTTTGAATCATCTGTGATTTGAACTAGCGTGCCGGCAAGATCATGCTAATGAAGTGTGGGATATTTAAATCCCCACTTCATTAGCAATTTCGAATGCCTGCATTTGCATCCCTAGTTCGAACTAGAGTGCAAGTGTAGACATACCGATAGAGATTTAGAACAGTTCTCACTTTAAGAGCTGAGCATTTTAGCTCCACCTTAGGTTTTTCTTTTTTTGCTCTGGAGGTCCTCAATTCAATCCTAGCTGTCATGTAAATGAGGGTTTATCTGGTACTGAACCAGAGCACTCTAATGTGAAATGTATGAGTTAAGGAACCAGCCTCTCAAGCTGAAAATTGTAATAGATCTTTATCCTTTGTGGATCAGTGACAGAGGGGAACCCATTTCAATGGGTTATATTCACACCTATCAAAAAGAGAAGAGAATGGCTGTGTCTAGACTGCATCCCTTTTTTCGTAAAAGGGATGCAAATTAGACCTATCGCAATTGCAAATGAAGCGGGGATTTAAATCTTCCCCGTTTCATTAGCATAAAAATGGCTTCCGCTTTTTTCCGGCTCGGAGCTTTGCCGGAGAAAAGCGCCAGTCTAGACGCGGATCTTTCGGAAAATAAAGCCTTTTCCAAAAGATCCCTTATCCCTTATTTTACAATAAACAAGCCGGAAAAAAGCGGCAGCCATATTTATGCTAATGAAGCGGGGGAGATTTAAATCCCCGCTTCATTTGCAATTGCGACAGGTCTAATTTGCATCCCTTTTACGAAAAAGGGATACAGTCTAGACACAGCCGATGGGTTCAGATCAATTAGCTTTCAGACATGTTCTTGCTAGTTTGTGAAATGTTAGTTTGTGAAATGTATCTGATGAATACAGATTTTTATTTTTAAATTAAGAAAACATTAATGGGAAAATGTGAGGCAGCTCATCTAGTAGGAAGAAGGGGGCAAACATGAGTTGCTGAGTTCTAACTAAATATGATCCAGTGCGATATTGGACACTGATACAAGCAACAGCAGAAAAGTTTGACAATGTTTCTGGTTTAATTTATTTCCTCAGTCAACCAAGATAAAGAGTTTCACTGCTTTAGTAAGTACAGCAAGACAGACATTGTAAGAAGCATGTTTTTCAAGTGAGTACCTCTCTTTCTGCCAGAGAAGACTTGTATAGACTAGTAATGAAATGTGCCAGGAAGAGATAATTGACCCTTCAGTCAGTCCTTAAGCATCAGCTATAATTTCTGACTGAGAAAAGAGACAATGGGATGAGATTCTGTGCGGGAGACAGAAAATGTAGAGATCACTGAGAACCTGCCCTGTGGCCTCAAGGTATCCTAGCAAGTGGTTGCTGGTCTCAGTTTCCCGCTCAATTCCTCATACTCACTACACACTTCAGAGTATAAAAATAGCTCCTTTCAGGGATTTTAATTTATTATCTGAAGTCTATTAGCATAAACTAAAATTCCCCCCTCAGTCCAGTCCAAATAGTGAATTTGTCCCCAACAGTCCAACTCCAAGCATGGCTCTGACATCTCTTATCATGCTCCACCTTAGCTCCTAGATAGGGATCTAGGATTTCTCACCATGCCTAACCTAGCTCCTTCAGCTGGGGTGTTTGTCTTATTTTCTTCCCACGTATGATTCCAGTGATTGCCTGGAGATATCAGAGGGCTCAGCCCTACACCTTTCCCCAGCCTTCAACCTTTTCTGGTCCTCCAGCTCAGAGAGCTGTAATATAGCTTCCTTTTAGCCTTCAGACCTCTCCAGTTTTAGCCTTCAGACCTCTCCAGTTTTCTCTCACCATGCTTAGATCTCCAGCCTGGAGAACTGTATATGTGACCCTCTGGCTGTCTTCCTAGCTTCTGCTATCACTAGCACTTCTCACCATCTTGTCCTTCAGGTGGATCCCTCCCCAAAGCTCTCAGTCCAGCTCTGCACTTCCTCTGAGCTCTCTTTACTATCAGTGCTGGTTGGGAGAGGTCCTGCCTTTTCTGAATTCTACTTCCAAGCTCTCACTGAGGACACTAGAGTTCTGAACAGCACTCTTAGAGTCTGAGCTCTCATGTATAATGCTCAAGGGCAACCCAACCCTCCTCATTACACCAAATGAGGGCACACCTGGCCTGGAAGAGGAGTTCTGATGCTGAGGCCAATTTCATTTAAGGGATCAGCTACCCTGTTACAGTCATTTAAAGGATTTCTGTCCTTTGCCAATAACAGATCCATTTGATGCTATGACAGGATTTCCATATTGACCTGAGTTGGCTCTGCAAAGGTGGAAGTAGGTCCACAAAACCAGGGAGAAGTCTGCTTTTACAGCAGGATAAAGGTTCCAGCAATTTCAAGCAACGTCCTTTGGATTCGGCAGTGCCCTCAGAACCTTTGAACAGCTCATGGAGAATGTGCTCTGTGGCACGCATCTCTTTCCGTCTGTCATGCATGGATAACAAATCTGGTGCATGTTACATTTTTTGGTCAGGAACGGGTACTTTTGTAGAAGGTCTGAGATAAGCCCGAGAATGCCAATTTGAAACTGAATCCAAAGAAACATGAGCTGTTTTAAAAAGAGATCATTTTCCCTTGGTCATTTGATCATCAGGGAAAGAATTTCCACTGATAAAGTGAAAGCGTACAGAACTGTTTGACTCTTTAGCACCATAGACCTTTTTAGTATTCTGCTGTACCTGTTACACCAACAGAGCTAAAGTTCTTGCATACAGTAAGAGAAAGGCCTTAAGTAATCACCAATGCATGCTTTGGCATTTGCAGAGTTAATACAGGCACTTGGGACTGTTTCAGTGTTACTCTACTCTTGCCTGAGAAATTTTCATATTAAAACACAGAGGCAAATGCTCACAGAATGGAAACACTTTGAGCCCAGATGGCTGAAGAAATTATAGGCATTTAAAGATGCTTTCTCTTGCTGAGCCTGTTGAAGGGCCAATTGGAAATCGCTCTCTGAAGAAGAGAGCAAGAAATGGATAGCACCTTTTCAGTGCTCTGGGTCCTGAAGCTATGTAAGTGTTCTTGAGTCAGCTGCTGAAACAACAGAAGCCGGAATAGGAAAACAGACAGCAAAGCAGTTAAAAACAAAGCAGTAGAGAATCCCAATGTTAAAATAGGTCACGCATGGAAATTTAACTGGAAATTGCCACTATCATAGAATACTGTGTCTTCTGACAGTATAGTGACAGCTCTTTGTCCTCAGGGTGAAATAGGAGAAGCTCACCAGTGCTTGGTACAAGTATTAAAAGGATAAATTGAAAAGACATACTAAGGATTAAATCTGCCCCTACTGAAATCAATGACAAAATTCCTGTTAAGTATGCGGTGATCAAGATCTCCTCCTAAGTTTGTGTCTTAGCTTTTAAACCATTGTATATTTTGGGTTCTGAAAGCACTGATTGAGAAACAATGGAACAGAGCCCCACTTTACATTCTCCACTGGAGTTACTCCAGATTTACATCCACACACATAAGATAAGAAACTATCCCAAGAAGCAAAAAAAATGGTGTAGGAAAATGATACAAATATAAAACTCTCCCCTCCCCGCCGCAAACAATAGCATTGAAACCCCAATAGGATCCCACTGCTGTTGACATTTCTGAGCCTTTGTGGAAGGTAATATGAAAATAAATCTCCCTGGATTGCTGCAGTCCAATTTATTAAAAAGAAAGTCTGAAATGTATCCAATTTTAAAAACAAAGAAACAAAACCACAAGCGGTT